ATAACTAATCAATCACTTTTGAACTTGGGGATCTATCTATCTATCTATCTATCTATCTATCTATCTATCTATCTATCTATCTATCTATCATCTATCCATCCATCCATCCATCCATCCATCCATCCATCCATCCTGCCATTAAGAAAAGGACACACACAGCTGCCTCCAAGAGGTCAAAGAGTTTCCCCGTTGGAACTAAAAGGGTTCTTTTACCAACTATTACCCAACTATTTACCAACTATTCTGGGAATTGGATTCCGTCCACTTTCAAGCTACCAAGGTTGAGAAATTGAGAAACGTCGACCTAGTGTAATCATCAACTTGCCAAGTCAGAAAATCCGCGGCACAACTTTTGTGTCCCCAGGAACACAACGCAACCCTACCGGCAAATCCAGATGTACAAATCGACTCCCCTCTATACCCACTCGCGCCGGACATACTTCCAGTACAATTTTCAACCTTCTCCGCCCGCATGCCGGACCCTTTCGAGTTCTGGCTGAGCATGATGGGACTCGTAGTCCGAAAACCCGAGTGGGGGACGGGGGGGGGGACGACGGGCACCCCCAGGTCGCGATTCTCCTTGCCTTCCCACCCACCCACCTTAAGATCCTCCTTGCCCCTCACCTGAAGAGCCCTTTCACGCATCTCCGGCAGTAGCGATGCCCGCATCCCGCCTGTTGCGGGTTGACCAAGAGAAACCCGCACGCTTGGCACAAGAGCCCGGCTTTGCCCAGAGGATCCATGGGCATCACGGAGCCGCGGAGCTTTCCCATCATCCACGAGCCGAGCTGGTCCCGCTGCGAACCTTCCAAGTTTGTCTCCGGATCGATCTGCCGCCCGTCAATCAATCAATCAATCAATCAAGCGACTCTTCTATCTATATCCCTTCCCTCTCTCTCCCGTTTCTCTTCGTAGTCTGACTCTGTCGGCAGGCAGGCGGGTGGAGAGTTTTTATATACGGCGTCGCCGCTGGGCGCCTGAGTCATCCGAAGACGCACGAGGGAATCCCAGGGCCCTGAGCCAAGCTTCGTAGTCGGGGCAGCCGGCTGAGGTTGCGTGCTGGAAAAGGACGGCGGGGCGGAACCTGACGTGGGGGGCGGGGGGGAAATGCCTCGACTTGCCCGGATTGTGGGAGACACGTACGGGAGACGGAGCAATGGGGGAAATGCTGCTTGGAGGGTTTGAAAAAAGAAAAGCGAATATCTAACAACCCGGGAAGGGGAAATTGGACGAGGGGAATAGGGGAGGGGAAAAAAAAGAACTCGAAGGGCGTAACGTGGGAAACGGGTTGCTTGGGCGAAGAAAGCGAATCCTGCTTTGCTTTCGCGCTGTCCTACCTCGCAGGAGTGGGGGTGGGGAATCAGGAATCGAAGGCGCTGTGTCTGTGTGTGTCCCGGGCCACCTTGGTTTCGCTTTCATCGTCATTCTCTTTAAACGACCCCATAATCCCTTTGCGAAGTGGAATCCGGGCAACTGAAAGGAGATGCGTGTGGCCGGATGCCCTTCCTGTCGCCAATCCTTGGATTCGCTCTCCTCCTATCGATTAGGAGGCTGGTTTGCCCTCACACTATCCTACCTCCCAGGGGTGGGGTGTCCTTCCAATACTTTAATCTCCGGACCAGGTGATACACCCTTTGTACTACAACTCCCATTGTCCTTAACTGACATGGCGGTAGGCGACCGGGCTTCAGAAGAATAGTGTTCTGTTCTGTTCTGTTCCGTTCCGTTTCATTCCATTCCATTCTGTGGCAGCAGGGCACCCAAAAAGCTTATTTCAGCTAGTGGGTCAGCAACCCGTTTCTCTGGAGCCGCATGTGGCTCTTTCATCCCTCTACTGCGGCTCCCTGTCCGCAATTGGCTCTACAATTGATAGGGTTGGGGTTAGGGCTTTTGGTTAAGACAGGTAGAGGAAAAAGGATGCGGCGCTAGGAGGATACTTTAGCGTGGGGGAATCGATCTTCCGGTCGGCTCCAGAAATGAACAGGGGGCTTTTGGTTAGGACCTTTGTGGCTCTTTGAGTGTTTAAGGTTGCCGACCCCTGAGCTAGTGAATTACACCATATTTTGGAGTGGCTGGCCATAACAAATTGGCTTTACTAAATCTAATAAATCATCATTGTCATCCAACTGTGGAATTCTAGGTTAGAAAGCCTGTCTTCATTACAATAATATTGATACAGCCTGGTTGATCTGGATGTTAGTCTAGAATAATTGTTCTCAACATTGGCAACTTCGTTTATACAGGGACCCCCACAATTCCCTAGCCAGCATACGTCTTAAGGGAGGATTAGGTATTTCCTAACTGCTAGTTCAATATCTTCCCCTTTCACAGCCCACTGGGTCCTGATTGTGAGAGAGGGACCCCCAATTTCTCTCACAGAGTTTCTGTGGCAGAAGAAGAACCTAGAACCTGGTTCTCCGGAGTGCCATACCAACACTTCTACTACTAGACCAGGCTGAGGGTGAGGAACTGGCCCAAAGACCCCCAGGGGGGGTCTCTGAAGGAGAATCTCAACCTGGGTCTCCCTAGTGCTGGTACAACATTTTCACCATTAGACCACACTGAGAGGGAAGAATTGGCCCACAGTTCCCAAGGGATCATCTGTTGCTGAAGGGGAACCTTGGACCTGGGTCTCCCTGGTTCCAGCCCAACTCTTTCAACACTGGACCAACACTGGAATAACTAGCGCACAGACCCCTAGAACCTGGAACTCCCCGATGTGAACCCAACATTTTCACCACTGGATCATTGAGGGATAAATTGGCCCACCATTCCCAAGGGGACATCCATGGTGAAGAGGAACCTAGAACTTGGGTCTCCCTGGTGTCAATCCAACTCTTTTCACAACTAGACCAGGTTGAAAAGGAAGAACTGGCACATGGTCCCCAAGGAGCTTCTGTGGCTGAAGGGGAACCTAGAACCTGGATCTCCCCGATATGAACCCAACGTTTTCACCACTAGATCAATAAACTGGCCCACCATTCCCAAAGGAGCTTCTGTGGCTGAATGGGAACCTAGAACCTGGATCTCCCCGATGTGAGTCCAACATTTCACCACTAGATCATTTTGGGAAGAACTGGCCAACTATTCCCAAAGGAGCTTCCATGGCTGAAGGGGAATCTAGAACCTGGATCTCCCTGATGTGAACCCAACATTTTCACCACTAGACCATTGTGGGAAGAACTGGCCCACCGTTCCCAAGGGAGCATCTGTAGCTGAAGGGGAATCTAGAACCTGGATCTCCCTGATGTGAACCCAACATTTTCACCACTAGACCATTGTGGGAAGAACTGGCCCACCGTTCCCAAGGGAGCATCTGTAGCTGAAGGGGAATCTAGAACTTGGATCTTCCAACTTCTACTCAAGCATCCTCAGTAGTACCCCATCTTGGTTTTCCATAATCACCATTCTTTTAATATTGTCATATGGTGAGGTATTAACTGGAAGACCAATTTCCCCATTCCCCCTCACCCCATTATAAGGAAATCCTGTCCACCTTTCTCAAAACAGTGCCTGGATATGACGAAATCCAATCAAGTCAATGATTTTGATCACTGAATTTTTCAATGTAAAGCAAGGAAATTATCCAAACCGATCAGTTATTCAGAACGGTATGATAATTGGTCAAAGATTGTTAACTTTACATCTCAGTCTAGTTTGTGCCTATATAAAATCAAGACACGGGGACATTGGAGGTTAATTATAGGGCAAGCCTATAATTATAAATGTGAGTCAGAAAAAAAACTGAGCCCTCACAGGCACAAGTTGGAAATAGCAAGCTGATGGTTTCACTGAAACTTCGATTTCCTTTTGCTTTTTGTGAAGGAAATAAGAGCCTCAGATCATTTGTCTTTCTAACACTTTCTGGAGAAATTACGGGAAGGAAAAGAAAAAGAATACTCCAGCAATATATCTGAGCACAGCTGTTTTTTATTATTGTTTCGTGGAAATGATTCATTGTATTTTTTTAAAAAAAATTCTTGGTTTGCAAAATAAATAAGCTGTATTATTGGAAAGACTCCCCTATAAGTGGATGATTCAACCCACCCCCCTTTTCACCAACTTTGCAGAGAGAAGAGAGCTTAAAAAAAAACCCTCTATACTCGTCGGCTGATTTCATTCATCATCATTGAAGCAACTACTAAAAATATAATCAAATGGCTAAAATTGGTCATGAGCTTATTCTTGTGATGCCTGCTTTTGAAAGCAAACGGATCAGTTCCTATATCACTCTGAAAAATGTCCCAAAGGTGCTTTTTTTTTTTCAGGAAGCAACTGGACTTTCTTGTTTTTCTGTTTGAAGATGTTTCTCTTCTCATCCAAGAAGCTTCTTCAGCTCTGACAGGATAGTGGGGAATGGAATCCTGTCAGAGCTGAAAAAGCTTCTTGGATGAGAAGCGAAACATCTTCAAAAACAAGAAAGCCCAGTTGCCTCCTGGGGAAAAAAAGCACCTTTGGGACAACCATGACCTGAATGACAGAGAATCTCTACAGACTCTGAAAGATGGTTTGCTTAACCACAGCTTGTTGTCTGAACCATGTTTGCTTGGATTCTATCAATGTAATCAGCCTCTCAACCTTGTCCACTTTAAAACCTGTGGGACTTCAACTCCCAGAATTCCCCCAGCCAGATGGGAGTTGGAAGTCCACACTTTTTAAAGTTATCAAGGTTAAGAAACACTGCACTAAGCCACAGGTATCCCCCATCATCTCATTTGGGAGCGGCCACATCCCTTCTGTAGCCTGGCAAATTGCGTCATTGAATGTGATGGTGAAATGGCTGATTTGGATTGCCCTGATTTCTAAGTCTATCCATTGGGGATGGGGAAATGGAAATACAAGGTTTATTTGAGATGAAAGGCTTCCATCCTTAAAATTCCCCACCTCCAAATCATCTGGAGAGCAGGACTGAAATATTTAGCTCTGCTAGGAAGGTTTCCTGGGGTGTGTTCTAATTTTTTTTTAAAAAGTCTAATAGTGGCCACAACTATATGATCAGATCCAAATGGCATGACATGAATGTCAACGGGTGGGGCTTCAATCATAAGGTTTTGTATTTTATTTTATTTTTTACATTTGTGTTTGTGGGTGGGTGTGCTTTTAATCTTTTTAAAGTTTGTGTATTTTATATATTTTTTAATTTTTTGATTATTGATTGATTGTATTTCACCCTTCTTATGATCTAGATCTGTAATAAAGACTTAATTTTGGTTATGTTGCAGGCAAGAGCTCTGATGGCACAGTGGTTAGAGTACAGCCGAGGTGGAGCAGTGGGTAGAGTGCAGTACTGCAGGCCACTTCAGCTGTGCTAGATCAGCAGGTCAGCGGTTCAAATCTCACCGGCTCAGGGTTGACTCAGCCTTCCATCCTTCCGAGGTGGGTAAAATGAGGACCCAGATTGTTGGGGGCAATACGCTGACCCTGTCAACTGCTTAGAGAGGGCTGTGAAGCACTGTGGAGTGGTATATAAGCCTAGTTGCTATCCCCTTGACTTGTTTTGACCCCTGCTCTGAAACTCTCCTTGATAACTTGGCTGATTAGGAGAGTTAATTTATTCTCGCTTAAGCCATTCGTCATGTGGCTGATCAGCACACAATCAGGACTGTATTAAACTAATCTCATTCTGGTCTCGGCAACCATTTGCTTTTAGTAAACCTGCCCCATGAAACAGAGAAACTGAGCTTCTTGATTTGCAAGGTGGTGCAGGAATCACAGCATTGGAGCCAAGGTGGTGCAGTGGTTAAATGCAGCACTGCAGGCTACTGCTAGATCAGCAGGTCAGCGGTTCAAATCTCACCGGCTCAGGGTTGACTCAGCCTTCCAT